TAATATTTCACACAATACGCTCGATAGAAGCTTATATGCAATGTTGAGGAGGTCTATCCCACGGTAGTTGGCTCCTTTTTTGAGGATTGGGCACAGCGCACTTCCAATCGTTGGGAAAGAAGCTGATGCATCCTCCTTAACAGTTCTTCGCCGCCGTGTTTGAATAGCTCGGCCGGCAATCCATCAGCCCCGCCGCTTTGTTGTTCTTCAGACGGGTTATTGCTATTCGAACTTCTTCCTGGTCGGGCAATGGAACGTCTGCTCCATCGTCATCGATTGGGGATCGAGTTTCCTGGCGTTGTGCGTTCACTGTCATTCAGCAGGCTCCATAATTTAAGTATGCTCTGAGCATCGGTGATTAGATCACTTTTGGGGGTTCTACAAGAGTATGAAACCTTCTGTAAGCCGCCGCATTTGTTTGTAGAATTTTCGAGCATTACCCTGTCGGCCAGCTTATCAAGCTCTTCGTACTCACGTATTTCGGCCTCCTTCGTTTTCTGTCTGCAAATGCGCCTTGCTTCCCTCTTCAACTCTTGGAATCTATCCCATTCCGCACGTGTTGTGGTCGATCGTAACGTTGCGAGGTAGGCAGCCTGTTTTCCCCTCGCTACAACGCAGCACTCCTCGTCGTACCAGCTGTTCTCTTGGATTTTCCGAAAACTAATGGTTTCGGTTACAGCTGTACGTAAAGAGCTTCAAATGCAGTCTAACAGTTTCCTTATACCGAGTTGGTGACTAGTGCTCTCAGAGACGTGAAGACGTCTATTCTGTCTTTCACAACATGATCAATCTGGTTGGTGGCTTTTCGATCCGGAGTGAGCCAGGTAGCTTGGTGCTGGAATCTAGTACTACAGATAACCATATTTCGGGCCCCGGCGAAGTCGATCAGCCTCAACCCATTTGGGGATGGTTCCTCGTGGGGGCTGAATTTACCAACTGTAGTGCCAAAGATACCTTCTTTGCCCTCCCTGGCGTTAAAGTCGCCAAGCACGATTTTAACATCGTGGCGGGGGCAGCTCTCATAAGTGCTTTCCAAACACTCATAAAAGGCATCTTTGGTCATATCATCCTTCTCTTCCGTCGGTGCGTGGGCGTAAATTAGCGATATGTTGAAGAACCTCGCTTTGATGTGGATTATGGCTAGATGTTCATTTTCCGGAGTGAATCATAGTACTCGGCGACGGAGTCTCTCTCCCACCACGAATCCCACACCTAACTTGTGCTTGTGTATGGCCACTGTAGTAAAKGCCACAAGGACCTACTCGTCTCCCCCTGTCCCGTCCATCGCATTTCTTGGACGGCGGTGATGTCAGCCTTTATTTTCACGTGGACATCAACCATCTGGGCAGCGGCACTTTCCCAATTAAGGGACTGGACATTCCAGGTGCATGCCCTCAAATCATAGTCCTTAACTCGTTTGCCGTGGTCGTCATCAAGAGGGGGTCTCTCATCCGAGGCTGTTGAAAATTTTTCATTGGGGGTGGTTTTTTACATGGCAGGTCCCAAACCCAGCGCACAAGCCTATGTAGGGGATATTTCGCTTTCTCACTTTAGCTCGCCTTCAAACGGATGTTCTTACTACTACTACTGCTACCCAGAGGATACTTGGTCAAACACCGGAAGTCGTGAGCTGCTTGAGTCATATGTAAAAGAATCGTTTCTTGCCGCTCCCAAGTGAATGGCGATCAGAGAACTTTCCTCACTTGCGTGAACGTCTACACATGACTCCATTCTCCTTGATAAGTATTTGAGCTAATTTTCAATATTTTATTAATTTTTCAAGTCCACAGAATAGGGGTGTTAATTACTGTACGCCCATGTCGATTGGTTTCGGGTTATACAAATAACCGTATGATGAATAGAACTATTATACTCTCTAGCAACTTTTTGGAAGAGTATAAAAGTATGTCATATTTTAAACTACTTTAYAGTAAAAATATGTGTACTTTATTTAAATAGGCAAATCTGACTTATTTTTGGTTTTGTATCAAACCAATTATTTTTGGAAGGTTGAGTCGACAGAAAAAAATTAATTTTATTGTGACCTTAAAGATTTCGTATGGCAGGACCAATTACAAGTTGTGCACGTTTGATGACTTGACAATTTTTTTGTCTTAAAAAAAGTTTGGCTTTGTGCAGCTCTGTCCATATCTATAGACGGTAGAAGTAACAGTAGAAGTAACCGCATTCAGAATTAAATGAATAATTGAATTGTACTGTTTCAACGGTAAAGTAAAAGATGAAGCGCGCCTATTTGACCTACCCCTGGCACACCAGGGTGAACAAAAAAGGTATCCTTAATACAACGACCGGTAAATTCAACCTCCATGATGAAACATCCCCAAACCGTTTGAGGCTGATCGACTTCGCCAGGGGCCCGAAATATGGTTATCTGTAATACTAGATTTCAGGATAAGAAAATTCTTCAAGCTACCTGGCTGTAGCCGGATCGGAGAGCCACGAACCAGATCGATATTTGATAGACGGAAGACATATCTTCAGTGTTTTAACGTGCGAGGCCCTAGCATTGACTTGACCTATTATCTTGTTGTCGCGAAGATACACACCCGCCCCTTTGCAGCAAAAAACGAACTTCTACAAACACTAGGAATGTTCGAAGTTGAGAAACTGCGATCACAACAGACAGCAACTAGGTATAAGCGAACTATGGGAGCTTACTCCTTACGTACATCTGCAATCGAAGCGAAGCAAAAGAACAATTGCTACAATGAGGAGTGCCATGTCGCAGTAGAGTGGAAACAGACTGTGTATCTTGCAATGGAACACGTGCAGGATAGGATAGATACAGAGAATTGGAGAGGGAAGATATTGTGATTTGCAGAAAAAAAGAGAGGCCACAATGCGTGAGTAGGAAGAGCTTGACCAGCTGATCCATCTACCATGGTAGAGCAACCAAAACCGCATTTAAGATTCTATCGAGCGTACTGTGTGAAAGGACCACCATCAACCAACTGATTGGATTTTATCAGTGTGGTTTTAAGCCTGGAAGATCAACAAATGACCAGATATTCACCATGCGCCAAATCTGGACAAAGACCCGTGAAAAGGAGATCAGCACACTCTATCTCTTCTTCGATTTCAACTGTTTCTGACAGCACGAAAAGCTGTCTTTATGCCATGATGTCTGAATTATGGTATCCCCACAAAACTAATAAAGCTGTATAAACTGACATTGAGCAATAACAAAAAATCCGTCAGAGTCGGATTGAACTCTCCGAATCGTTCGATACCAAACCTCGGCGACTTTCTATCGTGCGACTTCTTCAACCTACTTCTATAGAAAATAATTCGAGCTGTAATCTTAATACAGAAGGTGCAATCTTCTACAATAGTGTAAAACTGCTGTGAGATTTTAAGTATGCTGAGGTGATTTCTAAAGCACAAACGTTCACACTTTCCTCACAAATTTATGATGTCTGAAAGCAAACCTAAGCAAAACCGTTTGCGCTTGATATGCAAATTTCAAAACTTTTGAAGAAATTTGCAGTTATTTTGTTGAAATATATTGGAGGAACTAGTTATCAATTTTAAATATAAGTATTTAGCTATTACAATAAAGGTATAACTTACAGTCTGTGAACATTTTACCTCCTTCTGAGTATGAATAAAAAGGCATCTTCATATTTATTTTTAAATAATTCGGAAAAGATTTTATATGTAAATATGTATGTATATATTTAATACATGTGCGAAAATAATATGTCCTTTCATAAATTGAAATCCATAAAATAAATGAAATTATTATTATATGCACCAAATTTAATAGATTTGCGAAATTACTCATTGGTTGTCCTTTTGCGTAAAACAGCTGGTTCAAAGCAAAGTGCTTTTCATCTCATATATTGAGTTTTTTGCACTGTTTTTTGTGGGTTTTGAGCAAGAATAACCTCACAACAAACTTCAGAAATTTTTCCTCACAAATATGTTGTGATGTTTTCTCAGAATAGGGCTATCTACAACTGAATCTAGGAATAACCGTTATGTTTTACGGATACAAGTATAACCGTTTTAAAATAAAAGAAGGCATAAAATTCACCACAAATCAAAATCCCACGCAGGTTACGTGCCAAAAGGGGACAAATGCAAATTGTGAATTTAGAAACTTTTTTTAATTAAAAAAAAACCCAAAAACACAATAAGTAGTTATTAGAAATAAAAAATAACTTGTAACTGACAAGGTAAATCGCTTTCTTTGAGTTCTATTAATATAGAGAAACAACTGCTAATTACTAAATTTTGATTGCCACAATTTGACAACAAATCGCAACTTTTTACTATAGTAAAGTTGGCTTACCGTACGTTTTTTTAACCCGTTGTAGTTTTTAACGAAAATGCTTTACTTTATTTTAACAATAATAGTAAAGAAAATTATTAAATACTGCTTCAACTGGCTAATTCTTATTTCGTATCAAGAATGCATTCGAATGTGGCATATAATTTGGTGGAAATCTCAAATAACATTGCTATGCATGACTAAACATATTCTTTTGTTCTAATCAACTGTCGTTCTGCGATCAGTAACTTAAGAATACTTGGATATACTTATGTATTTCAAAAATTCAATTTGTTTCAATCTATCCGTTAATATCATTCCTCATTGTAGATGTATACATACAATATAGATATGTATATTGAATCAAGAACGAATTCTTCATAATGCTATGTTTGCTAATTTTTTATTGGTCATGGGACATATTTGTACATATGTTTACGGTAACAACATGACATGTATATTTTGTTGTTTGCATGATTTTGCATTACATTGCTGTTTTGAAATAATATGATCAAATGAGTTTTATTAGATTGCGGAAATTTCTTAAGAAACATGGTTTTTAAATAATAATAATATTAAATCTCCGTGTATTATATACATAAGTACATTATTAAAAGATATACTTTTAGATCTTCAATTCATTTCACAGAATTTATGAAAAGTGAATTATTCTTTTACTTTTTAGAAAGCTACATAATTCCACCTCCATCGACTTACGAAGTTTCAGTGAATAAAAATCTTTCATTCATTTCTAAGTGTTTTTTCTAAAGCCCTGACTTTTGATTAAGATGAGGGCGCAGAAAGACTGTACTGTGTTATTATTTTTCAACGCCATTTATTGGATCCTGTTCATAGAGTGTAGCAGAGCTAAAGTGAATGATGATTACGAATATGGTACACCTATTAAAAAAAGAGTAAGACGTTCATTAGCAACAATTTGTGTTGAAAGAAAACCTAGACACTTACAAGAGCAATCATATCTTTTGTGTAAAGATGAAAAACTACCCATGCCCAAATATGGAGAAGATAAAAGTAACTATGTTGCACACCAACCTTTCCTTCCCTATCCAAATGTGCAACTTAATAAAGGAACCTTCGGCATTTCGAACTTCGTTAATAGATATAGCCAATCGACTCATTCTAATTCGGAAAAGACTACACCTCCTTTGAATTCCAGTCCCGTTGGTCAAAGATTACCAATTTCGATGCCATTCATATTAAGCACAGCTAAATACGAAGGGGACAATGAAACACCATCAAGACGTTATAATTCTAACAATGAATATCTGAAAACGAGAAAGGACGATGAAGACTATATTGCACAACTATATGACCTTAATCAATCAAAATATTTTTATTTTAATAACTTCGATACAAAGAATTGTCCAGCTAAACTTGATTTAGAGACTGAAAAATGGGAATTTAATCCTACAAATGATGATTCTGTTGACTCTTTACAATATTCATTAAATGCACCTATTCCAAGGTCAGAGATAGAAATGRCTTCGCCAACCTTGGTGAAAGAATTGCCATTACTTTATGATGCTACAGGTATTGCTTCCCAACAAATATTTAGTGAAACAATTAACCGAAACCAACAATATTCAGCAGAAAGCTTTCGATATAAATTACCGTACACTACCCTATGGAGTCAGAGTATAGAKAAAGATCAATATAATGATTTCCGGAAAGAAACATCTGTCCCAGAAGCACCTTCGAATCAATATTTTAAAGCTTGTCCACCTGAAACGGGGTTCACTTTACTACCTATCATTATAACTCTACCATATTATAATCCTTCACCTGAAGCTAAACTTTCGGATTTATTTAATTGTTATGGATATCTTCCTCCTAGAGAATTAGTCGGATCCTCTTATAATCCATTGCTTCATATTTTTCAAACAAAACTGCTTCCTTATTTCAGTATGATACCACGACTAGGTGACTTACTAAGTTCAGCGCGTATATTATTGCCAACGTCACATGTCACAGACGGGATATTTCAAAGTACAACACCCATACCAGAAATTTCGCGGTCAAATTCATTAACATATACATACCAGCCAGGAATGATGCCAATAAGCAAGTTCAACAATGATTTACGTCCACACATTGAGGACGATAATGTAGCAGTACAGTTAGATAATATGCAAATAACAACACCTATGCCTATGACCACAGTTTTAGCCGAGTCTTCGGATGTTGATTCYTTAATATCAATAAAATCATTTGTGGATTTACAAAAAGGAGATAATTCCAAAATACAAAGCCAAAGTCAAATTAGAAATTTTACAACAGCTAAACCTTATGATATAACGAAACCATCTATAACAGAAGATTGGAATCAAACTAGCGAGAAGTCTACTAAAAAAATTTTGACAATTATTGAAAAGGCCCGACGCCTACAAATGCGGCACAGGATTAATTACAATTGAAAATGTCTTAATAATAAGCTTTGCAGAAACATTTCCAAATTTACATCTTTTTGTTTCGTTTCCTAAAATGCAAGGCAATTAACATCACTATTCATATGTTTACATGAGAAGAAAAAAACGTTATAAAATAGAAACTACTCATATTGATACATATTTTGAACTATTAAGCTTAAAATTTTGTACATATATGTACTATATGTATGTAGGATGAAATGAATCGAAATCAATAAAAACTCAATTTCGAATTTTTGATGATACTTAGTTTAGCATTTTCGGTGACGATATGTAAGTTTGATTTTAATATCAATTACAAAATTTTTAAATAAAAAGCCACAAATTTGTATCCGTATATGTATAAATAAAAACAGAACGGTTTTATTTGGTTTAATATTGTATATACTTGTGTACATAAAAATGTGAAAATTATTTCTTTTAAGGCGAGGGGAGTTTTTAGAGGCTTTATTCTTCGTGCCATATTTATTAATATGATTGTAGTAAAAATAAACTTTAATTGAACACTTGTGTACATTAGCAGATAAATTTGGATTCTGTTGAACATAAATACATATGTATGTTAAATGTATATGATATATATGTATACATAATGTATGTACATAATTTATTTAGAGGCAGATTAAATCGGGGGCATTGTCCTTCCATTTCAAGGACATTGTACACTCATTCACATAACATTTAAACATTTTTGATTAGACAAACTAATAATTTCAGTAATATTTTAATTTTATTTTTTTAAATTATTGATGTTATTAAACTTAAAGTTACTGTTAACGAGATGTAATAACTTACGTTTATGCAAATAATAATATTACCTATAAAGTATTGGGTCAAACATATAATATATATGCACTTGTGTTAATTATAATAAAGTTAAAGTAAACTCCATACAATTCATCCCCCATAGTAATTCCTGCGCTAACATGAAATGAATTGAGCATTAACAAAAGTTTTGCCTTTAGCATATCTTTTTTTTATAACTTCCATGATTTAGATAGTCAATGAAAAGTTCAGGACAACTACGATATGGTTGGTCGGCTTCTGTCAATGTAATTGGTGGGGTCGAGCCCCTATAAAGATCGTGAATATTATTTCCATAATAATATGGATTAACATTAAATGAATGCGGTTTTATTGATGGTGAAAATGTGCATGATTTTTGCGTCATAATAGCATAAATTGCGATATCACTTGGTGTCACTTCTGTAAAGCTGCATTGTGACCCAACCCCGTACCTAGAGGATAGTGACGGTAATAACGGTGGGGAAGCAAAATTTTTGTGACTGCAAAGATTTAGATATTCTTCCGATGGTGGAATTTTATTTGATAAAAGTGCGCTGTATGGAGATATGCCACAAGGTGAACTTTGATCCGAACTTATCACTTTTGTGTCAGGTTCATCTTTCAAATTATCGTATGAAGGAAAATTTTTTTTTGCATTTGTATGCACATTTGGTTGGGTTTTCCAACTAGGGCAATGTCGATTAGACTCCTCACTTGTTTGGTATACAATTTGCTGATAATTTTGAAACGGAGGCGCAGTATATACATCAGTGTCCTTAACAGGCGGGGTATCTATATTTTGGTAAGTATTTTTAACAGATGAGTTTTTATAAATCTTCCCATTTTCATTTGAGTATATCGGTCCATTATTTCTATTTATATCAGAGATGTAGTCCGTGTTCTCTTTCGCCTTATGCCTTTCTATATTATTGCACTCAGTAGCTTCGCTAGTTCCCATCTCATAATTATTATTAATCACATCAGAATTTCCTCCCTCATATATTTTGAGGGCGTTGCATTTGTTCTCATTGTTTATATAACCGGCTCCATTAAATCCATTAGTATTAAAATCTATGGATCTTAAAAATGGTTGAAAAATTCTTAACGGATCAAACGGTTGCAATGAGTGTAAAGGAGGTCGTTGTTGAAAGGAAGGGATATGAGATGACATTGGTGGTTTTTCATAAATATCGCCCTCACCAGCGTTGTAGTTATTGTTGCAACAATTAACACAACGCTCATCATTAAAAGGATTCTGAAGACCGATATCTTTCCAAAACTTTTTTAAAAATGATCGCTGTGTTCGTTTTAACTCTTCCTTAGGCTCTACGTGGTTCGAGTTAGTGTCTGCTTCAAGATAGTATAACGATTGAATGGAATTCAATACACTAGGATTTATGGATGAAAGCTTAAATGGTAAAACTTTATTGGCTGATGAACTCCATAAAAAAAACATAATAAACGATTGAAGTATCATTTTTCACCGGTCCTTAATCAATTTATTGTCGCAACTGTATCCACCTTAAATCGAAATGCAAAAAACTGAATGCAAATACTTTAACTGACTTTTATTAATACAAATTTCCATTTAAGTTCCAAAATTTGTCTGTGTACCACTTTCAAAATAAAAAAATTGCTGATTGAGAAAGTAAAAGTAATGCATTTACTGCATTAAGCAAGTGCAATCGCCCCAATTCATTTACATATGTAGAGTAGGTTAGAATATCAAGGTAGTCTAGTAAAGGTATTTGATTACACATATTTAAATATGGTAAATATATATATAAATTCACATACACTTCGCATTATACCATTATTTGCATGTACCTTTATATATATGTATGTATATTCATAAAATAATTGTCAAATGCACAATGCACTGCCATACATTAGCATTAGGTTTTGGATTTATTTGATTACCAAACGCAGGACATGACATATGTAGAAATCTGTTGAATTTTGGTTTCTGTATTGTGTCACATTTCAGATAGAGGTATCGTTGCGTCTGTTCAGATAATTCAGTTTATGATTTTCATTGATGATATTACACTTTTGACTGCTTTCACATACATAAAAAACATCTGAATTTTTATACGCTATGTGAAGTTAAGGTATTGTTTTAATTAAATTTGCAAAGAATTTTCTACATTTAGTATGGAAAAGTTGAAAAGTGGAATATTAAATACAGCAATTAATGAAAGCTACAGATTTTTATCAAAGTTAATACTTTCTGGAAAGTCATACGTAAAAAAGTTTTATGTTGACAGTTGAAAATTTTCTTATATGAATATACACTGACATACTTTCAGATTCTAGGAGCAAATTTGAGTATCTCTTTAGATTGCCTCCGCCATCATCTGAATAAATTTTCGGATAACTTTGGAAATTACAGTGACGAAAAACGAAAGTTATTCCACCAGAATCTAAAGGTGGTGGAAGAAATTATGCAAATCACTGCTGGTACTTAAATAAATAGTGTCAATTGGAAAATTATAAAAGAAAATGTCATTTTATGTTAAATGATCGATCCTAATAGGGTCTTCTCATTTGAACTGTTTACATCGCCACAACTGCGATAAAAATATCTTAATTATTAAACAAAACTTCAGTTATAAATATATCTGTTATATTTTCATGGTTTTTAATTTTTGTAATTTAAAATGAAATTAAAGACTTAAAAATAAACAAGACCAAATTCTACAAATCTGTTGACGTTCTTGAACTGTGAACAGAAATATATCCAAAATCGATTTTAAAGCTAAGGCACAAAAATACTGTAGACGATTGTTTTTGAAGATAACCATATATTTAGTATTTATGCCAACGTAATTTTTTTTAAATGCCCACCAGAGATAGTGAGAATCTTAAGGAAACAACAAGATATTATTTATAAAACATAGCACGGTAGTATGGGTAGTAAAAAATTATAAAATAACGTTATGTGATAGTCAACCCAACTCACTTCAAATTTTATTCCAAAATTGTGCATGGTAAAAATGTGAAATTAGTATAATTCAATCAAAAAAACCCAGCCTATCATTCTTAATTAATCAATTTATTTACTATAAATAAGGCAAAAAATAATTTGTATCATAAGTGTTCTTGATTTTAAATTGAGAACTGTGACAACTACAGTTTCATTAGATTGCGAAAAATGTAATAAAGAATATTCAAAGGAACTCTTGAGAAAACATCGAATTGCACTCATATGTATATATATTTATATGTTTATGCATAGTATGTTATTTGGCAGAGGATAAGTTGCTTAATCTTTAAAGATTTTTAATATAGCTTTAGTTTTACGCTCAAAACAACTTATTAAATCAAAAAGAATTAAACTGGAACTGGTAACTGTGATTATTTATGTGTTAGTAATTTTTATGTTTTAACCGATTGAAATACGAAACTATATATTGAATTCTGTCGATAGCAGCAATTTTCGACATGCTTACAAATTTATTTTAATACCCTTCAAGAAATGTTAGAAAGGAGTAGTTCGCAATTTATTTTAACTTATTTAACCTTTTGGCAAATTTTTTATTTAAATAAGATAATTGCTGGTTAAAATTAATAAATTATCAATAACAGGAAATTGTTATAAAAGCCAAAACTGTTAAGAATAAATGTAATTTTTTTGTATCTACGGTTTTTTATTACGTGGTATACAAAATCGCTTCATTTCACATACATTGAAACATACATACATATTTCTTCGCTAATCACGTTTTGTGAACGACAGCGAAATCAAAACCTGTATAAAAGAGCATTGTACTGTATAAATTCAGAATAGTAGAAATTGAATTAAGCACTGTATTATATTTCAGTTTTAATATGATAACGATTTTGATTATCCTTTTCTCGATGAGTTGTGTGATGACTCAAATTATACAAATGGAGCCATCACAGGGAATACTCATCCCAGCTGGAATAGCGCAATCAGTGCGCATTACTCGGTCATCACAATCTAATTCTACACCTCCAACGGCATATAGCAGTGTTTCTACATATCCAAACTCGAAGCTAGCACCTGCCACAACTCGTTCATATAAACCGTTTTCTATCCCAGCACTACCATGTCCGAGGAACTACTTATTTAGTTGTCAGGCGTCCTTGACACCAACTCAATGTTTGTCTCCTCCTGCTCCTTCACCGTCTTACACTGTTCGAGCGAAAGCTTCAGCCAGCTCATCTTATGTCACACCACAAGGCGCGTACTCACATATCATTCCTCAATATTCTTTCGCTGTGCCAGTTGTCAAGGAGCTATTTTAATAACATTTATTTTTGCAGTAATCAGCATAGTAAGATATTAAGAATTTAATACAAGAAATTATAATAAACACTCAAATAAATTCTACAGGTTTAGCTCATTATTATAAGCATTTGAGGAATCATTTTAAATTTTTCTTATTCGTATTTTTTATCCTAGTTATAGGTAAAATACAAAAGACAAGATTTTTGGTTAAATCTATTTATTTATTGTTGTATTTGATTATTTCTAGGATTGCATATCTTAAGTAATTTCTAGAAGGACTAAATAATCGTTATTTTGGGTATAAATTTGGCGAAAGTATATTGTAAAATATATACCCGTATATTGTAAAATAAGATTGAAAAGTCAGGGGACAGACCGCAAACGGCTGCACTTAAGACAGAATTAGAAAAATTCTGCTCCCAAGTGGTAACCCATTAAGCCCTATTGAGCAACGCTATGTATAACTAGTATTTCAAGACCTGAGCAGTTCCTCTGATGCTCATAGCTACAAGCAACCCTTGAAAGAGTTGAATGATCGAAGACAGCTCAAAGGAGTTAAATTCCTACCTGTTCCGATCGGGCTAGCTCGTCTTTTTATTTTCTTCGTTTCCCTGGTTCCCACTTGTCTCCTTCTATGCAAATGATTTCGATGTTAAACACCGAATTGTAGTCGTTTATGTTCAAGTTACCTTTTGTATCTTTTGTATTGCTTTAAAAGAAGCTTCTCCTGTTCCTGATTCACTGATGGATGCATCGGCGAATACATAAATTTTGGTGTTTGAATTGTCGAGGACATAACCATTGACCTATTCTTCTTTACTGGAAAAGAAAAACGTTGGTTTACCTCCCCATGAATTGATTTCCATGCTAACCAAGCCCAAATTCAATAACCATACCTAATACGTCCGTATTGAAGATGATTCAGTACAAAATGGCCGAAAACCTATAGACGGCTGCTCGTAAGCATTGCATCATACTTTAATATGTATTGTTGGAATCGTAATGACCCCCAAAGTCTTTCTGTCTTCGCCTATTGTTTCGGGGATATTTTAGGTTATTTTATCCACTAAATCAACACACAATCACCTCTATCCTGTGTACTTGGTAAATTAATAAAATATTGGAAATTAATTCAAATATTTATCAAGCAAGAAATATTTTGGTATTCTGTGGCATTCTTGATAAAAGCAAAAGCTTCAATTCGCAAAGCTTTTCCCCACACGTGTGGTGAACAAAATAATGTAAATAGAAAAAGCTGATTTCTATTCAAATTATCTTGGTAGCAATATGAGTGCAGTCAATAAAAAATTTGGAATATATTTCAAATTAATTGCCTTAAATTAGTATATTATTATTTTTATTACCATAATACTTGCCGCGTTTTTATAAAAGTTTCTTCCTCTTTTGAACTGTCAAGCTTTATTTCTTCTCCCTTCACCTTCACAATAAGTTTTGCTACAGCCCGAACACTTTTAGAAAGGGATGTTTGACTCATGGTCAGGTTGACGTTGTTACCTACACAATTCTGGTATGAGCCGTGTCCATAGAAATTCAAAGCTGTTAGAAAACTTTACAGTTAAAGGTACTGACGTTTTCTGATTATCGTGTGGGGCTAGTTCATCAATTAGGCGACGGCAAGTTAATCGAAAATTTCGCGCAAAGGTATTCTCGCTCAAAGAAAATGGATTGCTATCGTCGCGTAAACATTTTGAGTGCAACGCGCGATTCCTATTCTCACTTTTTTATCCTCGTTTAACAATAATTATAAACTGCATAATCAGATATTTAATTCATAACGAGCACTGTCAAGAGCATTTGACATCTTAACAACTTATAAAGAAAAACCTTCTTATTTCAGACACAGAATACGAAATGCTTGATAAATTTCAAATTTTGACAAATTAGAAATATGTTGAATTTGTCAAGTGCACAGAATAGGGGTGAATATGTTAGTATATGACAGATCACACTTGCACAGAACCAATATACATTTGAGGCAATAGCTCTTTTATATTTACCCTGCGTTCAATGTACTCTCTTCAATGAAGTCTTTTTTTTATATGGGTTAAACAATAGGGATTATATGCTTTCTGATGAAGTGCCCCATGTGGTCGAGTGAGCGATTTTTATATCCTCACATTTGTCAAGAGACCTCTTATGAGTTACCAATTAAGAAAATGTTTATTTAATATTTTCAAATTTAGTTTTACAAATTAATGAAAAATACAGAAAAGAAACAATCAGGCTTCGCCGCTCGTTAGGTGTGTATTTCACCGACGCCACACGACGACTCTCCTTCATCTCAGATGCCACCCCTTGGCTATTACTCTTTTTTATACAGGTTGCCAGATTGTTGACAGTCGGCCTTTCCTGACAGGAAATCGACCTCGATTTCGGCGTCATCGCAGTTTTCGGGAACTAGTTCGTCATCAAGTTCGGGACAGTTGTGGCACCACTGCTTAAGTTTGCTTGACTCGTAAACGGATGAGAAAGTTCGCGACTTTATTGGCATACCTGGCACGTCCTCTATTAAATACCGATCATTATTCAATACCTTCGCTATACGATAGGGTCCACGATATTTCGGTTCTAATTTTCTCGACTCACCGGTTGCGGAAACTTYGTTTTCTATGACTACTAAATCGTTTTCCTGATATATACGAGGAAGGGAACGTTTTTTCCATTTTTCTCTTTCGCGATCGATATTTTTGGATGCAAGGGAACGTTTTTCAACTATCGGGATATTATTGGTAGATTCGTCTACGTCTTCATGTACGGCGGCAACTAACTGATTGTATGCMAGATCGCGTAAGCTAAAGTCAAAAATGAGTTCGTTTGGGCTATAACCCGACGTTTTATTTTTCTGCGAGTTAATAGAAATTGTAAATTTCGTAACATTAAGTTCCATTCTTTTTGATTATCTACAATATTGTCCGCAAATAACTACGGATTGTTTGATTTGCGCGTTCGACTTGACCGTTCGACCGCGGGGTACGTACAGCCGNCTTTTTGATTATCTACAATATTGTCCGCAAATAACTACGGATTGTTTGATTTGCGCGTTCGACTTGACCGTTCGACCGCGGGGTACGTACAGCCGTTTTAACGTGTTTTATCCCGTTCTCTTCGCAATAGGCCGTAAATGTTTTGGATGTGTAAGCGGTACCACGATCAGAAATTAGTTTAGCCGGTAACCCAAAATAGCTAGTTATCTCGTTAAAGGTATTTATTACGTGAATCGTTCGCGTGTCGCGCACCGCTTTAACTATAAGATACTTAGAAAAGGCATCGGATATAGCCAAATTGTAACAATTTCCTTTCTTACTGCGAATTAATGGACCTACGTGGTCAACGTGAATTACGCGAAACGGTATCGGTTCTACGGATCGTAGTGCATTACACCTTCGACTTTACCGAATTGGGCTTTTCGATAACAACAATCAATGATAACATTAGGCAGATTCTTCGCCAGATGTGTCGATGATGTCTCCGGATAGAGCTATATATTATATATATGAAAATCACACTGCGAGCTGTAGGCGATGCAAAGTGCGAAACAACTTCAAAAATAAAAAACGCGGCCAAAAAAAAAAAAGCATTAAAGCATAGAAACGAATTAGGGTTACTACTCTATCTTGAAAAAGTTATTATTTGTCTAAGATCCGAAACGATTTTTTTTTTTTTCAATATTCATTTATGTATTTATTTAATCTTAATCTGTTTTTTTAAAGCCTAATAGTAAGTTATAATATCTTAATATATATTTAAAAACTGAACAGTTTCATGGTCATGGTTTTATTACATTATTTTATTATATAAGACACTTTGTTATCGTGTTTTCTCCACCTGAGCCTTCTATGTATGTGAATACCAAGATATGTTACCTCATTCGCTTGGGGTACTAAAATATTGTTTATTTTTACTGCCGAGCACATTTTTGTTCTTAGCGAAAATGTAGCATGCTTACACTTCTGTTCATTCACATTTATACGCCAGTTCGCTAGTCGAAAATCATTTTAGAAATAAGTTAAGTTTAAAAATAAAAGAACTTCATTATCGTGGAAAATTTCTTCCCATATCTTTCAAAAGGTACTTTAAAGTTATAATATATATATATTGCATGCTTCGTAATATGAAAGTAAAAATTAACCATAATAAATAAAGAAGTTGTATGTGGTTAAAAATATAGGTGACTTTTGAATTTAAACTGCGCGCGCCGAAAGATTTGGAGAATTATTTTTTTTGTAGGTTGGTAGTACTGTTCATGTCAAAATGTTCATTACTGTTTGAGGTACGTTCGTTTTGTGAGCTGCTAAAAGTGAGTTTTTCGTTTTTTGCGATGTCGAAATTTGTTGAGCAAAGAATTTGCATTAAATTTTGTTTACGGAATCAATTTTCTGATGCGGATACGTTGAGGATGATGCAGAAAGCCTTTGGTGATGAGGCTATGTCTAAGAAAAATGTTTACAAGTGGTATAGTGAGCCGGCTGTGAACGTGTCGAAGACGAAGAGCGTCCAGGGCGACCATCAACCTCAACCGACGAAGCTCACGTTCAACAATTCAAAGATTTGGTGTTGAAAAACCGCCGATTAACACCTTGCTGGTGAAGTTGGCATATCGAAAGGCTCGCCAATACCATTTTGAAGGATGTTTTTTGCCTCAAGCGCGTCATATCTCCACTGGTACCGAAAACATTGAATTTTTTGGAAAAAACGCGTCGCGTTGAAGTGTGTGAAACGATGCTTTCCAACTAAAAGGGTCTCATGGAACGCATTATAACTGGCGATGAGACTTGGATCCATGTTTACGACCCCGAAACAACCGATCAATCGAACGAATATCGTGCCAAAAGAGAGCCAAGACCAAAATAATCGTGCTAAAGTTGTTCAAAAATCAAGGTCATGTTGACTGTTTTCTTCGCTTATCGTGGTGTTGTGCATTATGAATTCCTTCCAACCGGTCAAACAATCATCAAGGAATATTATTTGATCGTTATGCGTCGTTTGCATAACGCTATCCACCTAGAAAAGTCGGAATTGTGGAAAGACAATTCTTGGTTTTTACACCATGATAATACATCATCCCATACTGCCCTAGTAATTCGTGATCATTTCGCCAAAATC